GTTACCACTTCCATGGGAGGACATAAAACTAAGACAGCGGCTGGGGTGGAATGGGGTGTGGGACAGACTGGATTACTGCTCCACATACTGGCAAACCAGAGTAGGGGGCGGGCCTGGTGGGGGTTATTGCGGGTCCCTCCAACTAGGCTGCAGCTCCCACTGGTTTATGTGAGGGCCACGTATGTGCTGGGCAGAACCAGGCTGGACTGCAACACCCATTGGTTCCAGTGAAAGTCGGGAGTGAGAACAGAACCAACCCAGCAGTTACAACTACCAGCTGATCAGGGCGATGGACTGTGCTGGGCCCTGTACTTGCTAGCACATACAAGAATCTGGTTTGAGAACACCTCAGGCAAAGTTTCTTTGGAGATCTTCCTAATCTAAATGCTGGACTCAGAACCCTAACCAAGAAAAGAGAGAAGACAGAACAGGTCAACCAACCATCTCAGCTATGATGGACTATGTCAGTCAGTGGACTTTTCAAAGACCTCATAGTGCTTAGAGTGGCAAGATTGGCAGCGATTCATAACTGTTGAAATATCAAAACCACATGAGCAAGAACCTCAGAGCATGCCCTACATCCGGGACCTGGGGAGGGTGGGAAATTGGGTGGGCCTTCTCCCTTAATACCCCCCTTTAAACATGAAGGAAACAATATGAAAAAAAATACTAGTTTTATCCACTTTACTGGAGCCCTTGAACCTTTTTACTCTAATGAACTATGTAAAGATTGTCAAAATTAAAAAAATTAAAAAGCCAAAAAAAAAAAGAAAAAGAAATCAAATTTAAGTAATATGGTAAAGGAAAAAAAATGTTAAAATAAAGCTGGAGAAATGAAATAAGACAAAAAAAAAAAAAGACTTCGTTGTTTTTTACTGTTAAGCTAGGATAGACCCTCCTTTGCTCAAAGCAAAGTGATTTGGTATGCTAGTGATGGGTCTGCAACCCTGCTTAGGCCAGGTGTCCATCGCGTGTCGACTGACAGCACTCCGGGGTTGCGCGTATGGAGGAAGCCACAATCTGTCTACCCAGAACACTTCCCACTCCTTGCTGATTTGACTTCTTGTCCAGGTGCTACTGACGGATACACTCTGCAAATCAAAGCAGGCAGAGAGATTAGCTTGAAGGACCTCTGAGACTAAAAGCAGGGTCTGTTCCCTCCCTTTCTTGCCACTCAGGAGTTAAGTTTATTTGATTATAAAAGCAATACAATAAAAAGAAGGATAAAATGTTATATATTTTAGCCATTGTAGATTTTTTAATTTAGCAGTTATAAATTTAAAATTCAGAAATGTGGATAACTAAAATATATTTTTTTAAATATTTATTTTATTTTTTATTGGAAAGTCAGATATACAGAGAGAATGAGAGACAGAAAGGAAGATCTTCCATCTGTTGATTCACTCTCCAACTGGCTGCATCAGCCAGAGCTGAGCCAATTCAAAGCCAGGAGCCAGGAGCTTCTTCTGGGTCTCCCATGCAGGTGCAGGGTCCCAAGGCCTTGGACTGTCCTCAACTGCTTTCCTAGGCCACAACAGGGAACAAGGTGGGAAGCTGGGCCTCTGGGTTATGCACTGGCATCCATATGGGGTTCTGGTACCTGCAAGGTGAGGACTTTAGCTGCTAGTCTACTGCACCAGGCTGGAAAAGTAAAATATTTTAAATTAAAAATCATCCAGTAACTCTTACTTGTTACCATTATTATTATGTTGTTTTTCAGACTGTTTTCTCTGTGTTATGTAAGCCTATAGATCTTCATTTTGTTTTTTAATGCCTGTCCTACTGGTCTGTTTTGTAACCAGCTGTTTGTCACTTAAGATTATGTCTGCAGATCTTTATGTGTAGCAATGAGGGGATTTTATCCCTGATTCTTATTTGTCTCTTACCACTCCCGTACTTCTCTCAATTTCTCTCTTTTATGATGAGAATTTATTACAGATTAATGCTTAGTTATCATACATCTTTTATGAGGAGGTATCATCTTAGTCTTTGAGTTTAAAACATTCTTTAAATTGTAGCGACCCTTGCCAAAAGACAAAGAAGCAGTTAACATATTTCTTTGAGATTGCTGATTCAAGAAATTAACTTCAGCACTGATGTTCTGGCCTAGTGGGCTAAACAACCACTTCGAATGTTGGTATTCCAAGTCTGAGTGCATGGTTTGAGTCCCAGGCACTGCACTCACAGTCCAGCTTCCTGCAGATTTTAGACAAAACTACCCCAACTGCTACTGCCCGTAGAGGAGACCTTTTGGTCTTTAAGGTCTTTCAGGATCTTCTACTCTTGTGTTTCAAGTTAAGGAAAGTAAATAAATAAATAAACATGTAAAAATAATGTGTTACACCAAGGTAACATTTTTCCTAATTTTTTAAAGGTTTATTTATTTATTTAAAAAGCTGATTTAGAAAGGCAGAGATCTTCCATCTGCTGGTTCACACCCCAAACGACTACAACAGCCAGGGCTGTGTTGGCCAAAGCCAGGAGTCTAGAATTCCATCTCCCATGTCGGGGCACGAGCTCAAGGACATGGCCGGATCCGTGCTTCCTTCCCAGGTAGATCACAAGCATATCCACCAGGAATGAAACTGGGGCCTAAATAGGAAATCGGCAGTGCAGTCAGCTACTTCACAGCCAGCACCAGTTCATCCTTGGTATGATTTTTAAACATTTCAGGAAACAGAAAGGAATTTATATAATCACTAGGCAAATCACCTGGCCTGGGCTTCTTCAACCGCCCTAAGTTATTCCTGCTTTTCTCATAACTTTTGACTTATTCACTTTAAAAAGTCCTAAGCTTTTTCTTTAATGGTTATTCTTGGTTGCTAAGGTATATTTTGTTTAAGTGCGACCATTTGTAAATACAAGTCATTTACAAATTGTGATTTTGTAACTACAGATATGCCTATGTTTACTATGTTAAGAAGATGGGAACAGAATGTTTTTGTTGCTTCTGCCTCTGAAATCTCAGCAAGTGAAGGAACACACTAGTTATCCAGAGACAAATCCACTGTTAAAAGTTCATACCTTCGTTTTGATATTTAGTGTCAGACTTTTCTTTGTAAATCCTTCTGCACATTACATTAAGGCTGCTGGTCCCAGAGCTCAAACTGTTTTAAAACCCTAGCATTTCTCAATGAGTGATTGATCTGTATTATGTGTCCAGCCGTCAGGGGGATCTTGGGATGTTGCTTGTATAAACTGTAATCCAATCTGATGCTGTGCATTTAGTTACAGTCTTTCATACACCTATTGGTGATACCCAATCCTCATGGATTTGGGAATAGGGCTTATCTGATACCTCAGGGGGAGTAAAATCCATTCATTTTCCTCTTTTCCCCACTTAAATAGCTCAACACATCTGGTTACACTGTAGGATCATTGTCCTTCCAGTTCCTCTGCAGCTCATATTGCTACAATATTTTTTTAAGTATTTGGTTACCTAAAGGACAATGTGGTTTAAAAAAAAAAAAAGGCTGTATAGTTCTTACAAATTAACCCATTTACAGAGCTAGAAAAAGAATATGCCTTTAATCAGCAAAAGTTCCCTCTGAGCAGCCCTGTGTGTTATGAGATAAATGCCCATGTGTTAAAATTTTAAAACAAATCTTTCTAACAAATTAATGTAATTTGCCTCTAAAAAATGTTTATTAAATACAGGGTACCTGAGATTGAAGTATCTTGTTGTTTGGGTCTGTATCCTTGGGCTTAATGTCTTCAATTACAAGAATGATAAAAGCTGAAACCAAATCCTTTAATTCAATCAAGACAGAGCTGTATTTTAGAACGCAAAGAGTGGAAATCAGATACAGGACTGCATAACATAGGAAGCAAAATATACAAGATGTTAAGGCTTCGTAAGAAGTGGATGGGGTTGCCTTGAGGAATTTTTATTTGAAATGGCTGCATTGAACATTATCATAAATACCACCTTTTTATCCTCTTGAATTAATATGCTTTATGCAAACAACTGTAATTGTACAGAAGTTCCAAAGAGACCATTTACTGTTTTCTGCTTGTTTTACATTCTGGAACAAGTTCAAAGCTTTTGATTTTGCTTGATTTTTTTTAATAGCCTGAGCTTTGAATGTAATACAGGTTTGATGAATACAATTTCAGTATTGTGGTTCTGTAAAAATGTTCAGTGTTTATGGTACATTTGTCCCAGGGGCCCTACAACAAATATATCTGCAGTGCATTTTAACTATGTCAGAATGAACACATTTGAAAGGTTAACTGTTTTCTTGCTTTTGCTTTTCTTTCTGTATCTGAGTATGAACATTAGCATCATAATGACTCCCAGAATGGGAAAACTGAAAAAGAATGCACATGATTGAAATACACATGCAGAAAATAAATTAAGATTTCATTATTTATCTAAAACTTAAGCCATGTTCGAAGTGGTTGTTACAGGATTTTCATGTGTATAAGCTAAATGGCATTCTTACATGATTTTTTTTAACTTAAGTTATGATTCTTTTTAAAGATCTATTTATTTTTATTACAAAGTCAAATATACATAGAGGAGGAGAGACAGAGAGGAAGATCTTCCGTCCAATGATTCACTCCCCAAATAACCTCAACGGCCGGTGCTACATCAGTCCGAAGCCAGGAGCCAAGAACCTCCTCCAGGTCTCCCACATGGGTGCAGGATCCCAAGGCTTTGGGCTGTCCTCGACTGCTTTCCCAGGCCACAAGCAGGGAGCTGAATAGGAAGTGGAGCTGCCGGGATTAGAACCGGCGCCCATAGGGATCCTGGCGCGTTGAAAGCAAGGACTTTAGCCGCTAGGCCACGCTGCTGGGCCCCTTAAGTTATGATTTTAAAAAATTGGATCACAACTTAAATATCCAGGTGGGCATAGCCATTTGCCAGGAACTTTGCATATAATTTTTTTTTCCTTTCCAGCAGCACAAATCCTGACTTGCAACCAAGCCTTCTGCATATTCTCAGATTAAAGTAGAGACGAATTTTTAAGTTTATTTTTTCCTCTCCCCATGTTTAGGTTGTGGAACTAATAGCAAGCGCTCTTATGGACTTGGTACAAGGAGTATATCATGAAAATTCAACTTCAGCAAAGGTAAAGAATCTCAGAGTCATTGTAAAATATCAGGTTAGAAACCCTCATGGTGAAATTTGAATATTGTGTGAAAATATCGTTCCTGTTTTGTGTTTAAATTGTACATGACTTTTTTTTTGAGATGAGTGTTTGGCTACAAATTCATGGCCATACGCTTAGTACATAGCAGATTTAGCCAATTAAAACAACCTCTTATCCTCATGCTGGATTCACAGTCTGTTTCATGGGCAGCAGCCTGGGAGATGCCAGGACTCTCCTGGCCAGAGGAACGCTGGAGGGGCAACTTGTGCCGGACCCAGCCTTTCCCAGCAGGAATGGGGCCTTCCCTGTCCCGGATGTGTGAACCATAACTTCAAGAAGATGACTGTTGGAGAGATGGAGGCAGAATGTCCAAGATGCAGAATGTACTGCATTATTAGATTCTTTCCAATAAGAAGTTAAGATGGTTGCACAGTTGAATTATTTTGATTAATTTTATAGGTCTAGGATTAAGGCTTTTTTGACTCATTTAACAGGACATCTCAAAAAAGGTTAGATTTTATTTCTTTTATGCAGTTATCTCATTTCTGTAGGATATTAGAAGTGAAGCGGTTGCTTCATTGACCAGCACCGTCATTTAACATGGTATATGCTGTTATAAGGGCTTTCTATCTCAGTGTTCATTATTTGAACTGCTTTGACTTCTGTATTAGGAGGATTTCACCCACCGAAAGTTAGGGGAAAATATGCACTTATACATAGCTTAAGCTATACCATTTCCACTTGAGAACAGACAGATCATACTAGATGTGAACACACAGTGCATAAGCAACTTAGAAGAGAAATGTGAAAATTTCCAGTAAAACCCAGAGACTCTGGATGCTTCAGAACGTGCTTAGGGAAACATGAAGAATTGCTCCTTCACACCCATGGGCACTTGGTTCAGGGTACCCCAGTTCCCGACAGGCACCTCTACCCTTACCTAGGGAGCAAGTTGGTATACAAATCGGTATAGGGGTCCTCGATGTGTAGCCACAGGGAAGTACTTTTCATAAGCACACATTGTGCACTGCTAAGGCTGAGTGTTACTATCAGATTGTAAAATGGGTGACTTCTGGTCCACATGACACTTCAGAAAGTTCATAGAAAAGTGGAATTTGAAAGGTTATTTTAGTGCAAAAAAATTTGAAATCTATATATAGCATTCTCATGATATATATTTCCACGAACTTTTTGGAAGTTCCTGTATATTTAGGGATTTCAAAAAATTTTGCACCAAAGTAGAAACTTACCTTTTAATCCCATTTTTCATAACTTTTTGAATTACCATCGTATTTCTGCCATACCACATTACCATATGTATAGAATCCTGAAGATGGTGGTGGGTAAGCAGTTAGCACCATAGTGAGTGATATACTTGGGCTTCTTCACGGAGATCAAGAAGGTAGGTATCCCAGTGTTCCCATTTTGTGGGTGTAAAAACTGAGGTTTGGAGAAAAATGAAGTGATATCCCTAAGGTCACATAATCTGTTAGCTGAGGTCTGAGCTCGGGAACCCAGGTTCTCTGTCTGCACCCATTGCCCTGTATCTTACTGGCATCTCTCTGCCACTGTATAATGACAACCTATTCTCACTGCTTTTTCCTGCGGCATTCCTGGGCTCACCTTACTTCCATATAAGATACCAATATTTTTCAGTGAAATATCTGTTCTTCTTTAAGTGAAAGTTACAGTAGTTGATTTTAGGATCCTTAATTTACTCTTACCATTTGTCTGCTAGTTAGCTTAGTTCATTAACAAATACGTGAACCTTTGTCATAAATGCTTGCGAGCACGTGACAACTGGCTTGTGCTTCCTTTGCACACAGTCTCCTGGGTGTCCTGTGTTGACATTCCGTTTCACGTGGGAAAAGCCTAGAATACCGAGACCACAAGTGGCATGGAAGCACAGTGTCAGAACACTAACAGTGCCTTGTTCCGAACTCAGGTCTTTCACTCCGTGTCCTCTGCTTTTTCTCGTGTGATCTGTTCTTCCTGGGAAATGGCAAAGCAACAGCAACCCAGTCTCTGAAGGACTGTCGCTCATACTTGGTCAGTGCACTTTGCAAGCTCTGGTCACTGACTCTCACTGGCTAATGAGTTTTACTCAGAAGAATCTGCAACAATGCTTCATTCAGCTGTGCTGCTTTTCTCCCACCTCCCCAAACACATTCCCTTAGGGGGCTTAGCTCCCTTTTGAGCAGTTAGATTTTTGAACACTAACCAAATCATGTGAAGAGCTGTTCTAATTAAATGATGGCAACAAAAATGGAGAGTTGGTTGGGAGCAGCAGGTGTACTTCTCACTGCCTCCACTTACGCCCCTGCTTCCATTTAGCTTAACCACATTTCCCTTCCTACTCAGAAAAGGGGTGTGTGTGTGTGTCTGTGTGTGTTCCTCCCCCCAGAGTGCTTGCCATGACAGTGCCTTTTCAGAGATCCCTGGAGAGGCAGGGAGAGCTCTGCCTCGGCATGGAGTGCCTTCCAGGTTTTCATGTTCTGGCATGATTGGGAAGGAGCCGCAAGTGGAGGTCTCATGGGAAGTCAGACCCTCCCCGTCATTTCTGTTGCACAACCTAACCTCCAACCTCCGTAGCCTTGGGCCAGTCCAGCTCACAAAGGAATTACTTTGTAATTCCAAGTAAGCTGCAAACCATTTCATTCCTCTAGGGATAGGGGGATACAATAGTGGTCTGTTTTCTATATGGCAGCTTAATGCAGTGATGGAGAATCTGGGCTGCGGGAAAGCACCTTCCTGTGGAGTGGCATCTGTGTGACCAGAGTAGATGCTATTAAAGCAAGCAGGAGAGTTGGAATTGGATAGGTTAGAAATCACCTTCTCCAAAGACACTTGTGGAATCATTACCTAATTCTTAGAGCCCTGTGACTTATGTTACTAATATGTAACAGACTGAAGGCAGATTCTGCTCCTGAAAGCCTATGAAGTTAATTTAGGAAATCTATCCTTTGTTTCCTACATTGGAAAACACTGGTATTTTTGCATTTGCTAGTTTGTAAACCATTTCTTCTTTACAGAAATTAGTCATGTGCTTTCTTTAGTATTTAAAAAAAAATTCCCTCTGGCTGCTCTTTCATGTTACCCAATTTTTTAGCGTCTGTGAATTTTTAAAAATTGATTTGTAATTGGTTACTTGCCATTCTAACTGTTCCCTCCTTAAGCCTTGCCTTATATCATACTCAATTTTGTTAAAATAGGATATTTAGCAATTACAGTGACTTTGTGTTCGTAGAATTTTAAGTAACTAAAAGCCTTTTAGCATAATTATTATTATAACTTATTTTCATATTAGAAAAACCCATATATGCTCATTAAGTGAAAAGTGAAAACACAGAAAAAGATCAAGAGGAAAATTGAAAGTTTTATATAGCCCTTGCCCAGAAATGAATCATAATTACATTTTGACCTATTTCTTTCTAGATTTCACTGTGCAGTTCTCCTGTTTTCTGAGCTATTGCTGTGCATATTTTTTTCTTTTTTTTTTTTAATTTTATTTTTGATGTTGTTTGCATAATTGACAAGGAGGCACACCCATGAGGACCACCACTGATTAGGTGGGGAGGGTCAAAGCATGGGGGACGATGGTAGGTCAGATGCTTCCAATTTTCTTTTCTTCCCTTTTCTTCTGTCTGGGGGCAGGGTGGGATGTGGGGAGAAGAGGAAGGGTGCAGCTCCCAGTTGTACATAACATTTTTTAGCATATTTTTTTTCTTTGTTTTTGACAATTTTTACATAGTTAATTGGGGCACAAAGGGTCAAGGGCTAAAGGAATGTGGGTAATACCATTATTTCCACATTATTGCTTTTTTTTTTTTTCTGTATCTTGGATAAAGGGGAGATAAAGGGAGAAGCCCCACCCAGCCTCCCACCCTCTGATGTGGATAACATTTTGATCTTGATTTATTGTCATTAAAGGAAATCAAAAGATCATTTTAATGGCTGCTTAATATTTCTTTGTATTTGCTGTGCTATAGTTTACTAAAACATCTGAATTTTACAGAAATATTTACCTAGTTATTTGGAAAAGCAGAGTGACAAAAGAGGAGGATGGAAAGATATCTTCCATCTGTTGGTTCACTCTGCAATGACCACAATAGCCAGGGCTGGGCCAGGCTGAAGGCTAGCCAGGAATTCCATCCAGGGTACCCAATTGGGGCCTCAGCACTTGGCTTAACCTCAGCTTTCCCAGGTCCCTTAGCAGGAAGTTGGAGCAACTGAAATTTAAACCATCACTTCAATAAGAGATGCCTATGACACGGGTAGCCTTTTGACCTGCGTCTCCACAATCCAGCTACCACTTTACAATTTTTAGACACTTACTGTGTTCAATGTTTTACTCATTTAGGCTGAATAATGGGGCTGACATTGAGTTGTAACAGGTTAAGCCACCCTGAAATGCCAGCATCCCATATGGACACCAGCTCCTTTATTTCCCACTCAGCTGTCTGCTCCTGTGACTGAGAAGGCTATAGAAGATGGCCAAAGGGAGTAAACCAGCACAGATGGAAACCAGTCTCTCATACTCTAACTTTGCCTTTTCAATTAATTAAATAAATCAATAAAATCTTAGCAATAAATAAATAAACCACATGGCAATACCATGTGAGTGCATATAACTGCTCTATTTCATACTTTTGTTTTGCTGAGTTTCATATTGTTTTTTTTTTAAAAAAATCCTGAAAGTGAGTTTCTTGAATTAAAAAGTGAGCTTGCTGTCACTACACCTCTGTGCATGTTACTGTCCTGGGAAGGCTTGTTTGGAAGGTTCGCCCTTGATTGGCCACTGGGATGCTGTGTGTGAGAGAAGCGTTCCCACCTTTCTCCAACTAAGAAAAATGACTCATAGTGCCTCAACTGTTTCTACAAACTGTGTGGTTTATACTGAACACCAGATTTCCTTTGGGAGTCCTGAATTTGGAAACACTAGGCACAGTGTGCCTGCATGGCCAACAGCACCAAAAACC